TATTTATTGTTAAATTTTCACTATACGGCAATAGAGGTGTGAATTTCATCATTTAAAAAGGTGACAAGTGGCCGAGGAAGTACGAGCATTAAATACTCTTTATTAAAAGGCGAACGGGATGGCTGCATGGGCGTTTTCAAGGTCTTCTAAATGTGTAACGTGAGTACGACATACTTTCTCTGAAAAAGACCTCCGTGTAGGCACCTCTCCATTTCGGGCAGATTACCCTCGTGTGCTTTGCCATAATAATAATCTATTAATTAAAAGGCAAAACAGTTTCACTTAAATTCATCACTTTTTTTTTGCAACGATCATGTACTGATCTGGAACAAATTTAGTTAGCTATTATTAACAAATGTAATTACATTCGCTGTAAAATTTTAAAATTATGTGTACTCAATATATGACGCCGTAAAGAATTTGATAAAATATCGAATCAAGGATTCTGATTTTACGGAAGCGTTTTAGTGTTTCACCAAATAAGCTACTGAAGTCGCTATTCATAACTTCTTAATTTTTTTCTGTTCTTTAATTGACCAACTACCATTACCTTTTTTATTTACAAATTTTTTCATCGACGTTACTGATTTGAATGCTGATGAGCCATCATCTTTTTGACGCATAAAAGTTTCATAATTTATAGATAATTTGCAATTTTGTGTAACCCTAAAATCATTATTTCAATACTGCTTATTAGCATACTCACACATTTTCCTGTATTTCCAATATTCTATTTAAAAAGCACTTTAATTTAGTTAATAAATATATATACACGGCGATTTCTATATGACTAAATGGTGAATCTTACTTCAGCAGTTCTTACAAATATTCGGTTCGCGTACATATAAATACCGTATTTAGAATGAGCTCTTATCTGATTAAATTAAATATGCAGCTTCAAAAGCTCGGTGAAAGCATGGAAACAATAGGTAAAATTCCATTAGAGTTTTCACAAATTTTCATCACAAACAGTTAGAGCTGCTATCTCAACCATGGCACTTAACAAAGTTGTTGAAGTGACTATTTAACAAATTATGAGAAGTCTCTGCGCATGTGAATTCTACTTGAAACCTTAGAAAAGAGCGTATTCTTCTGTTTCTTTAACAGAATTACTGAAATCAGCAAACAACGAATCACTGCTGTGTACCTTTTTCTTTCACGTAAAGTTCCAATTGTGTCAAGGACTTTATGATCTATCTTGCCTTCGTTAACATTTCGAAGTACACTTTCCTAATAGTTAAGTTACAACTACAAACAACTTCTTACTGAAAAGAATCAGAGTTATGTTTTGTAAGTATATATTTTCAATATACTTGACTACGTACTTTTTATCACCATTTACTAAACAGTACTTGAAATCTTCGGCAATAGATTTTATGATGTCTTAAAACGTTAAATCGTTCATTAGTTTATTATTGTACAAATATAAAAATCGCTTAATTTTTATAGCATTTAAAATTAAAGGTTGGATTTATTTAATTTTTCTTTTTAATTTATTATATGATAAGCTTATGAGTGAACGCCTCTTCAACAGATTTCCTTTTAAAGACAGATTTTTATTTTTTGCTTACTTGCATTCTCCATTCTGCTTGCTATGGTTCCACAAATACATATACAAAGGCTGTTGGTGCCCTTTTAGATGATTTTGCTTTGCTATAAAGTCTTCTTGAAAATATTTTCTTTTCATTGCAACTATATTTTTAAAAGTACAAATTATTGTCTGCTTCTTGACAGTTTTGTTTTCACGCAAAATGTCGTTTTTAAGGAAGTAATGGATGGAAGGCTATGTTTGTGCTCTTTCCAAAGAAAATTATTTGTATCTAGTTATTAAAATGACACAGTGAAAGCCATAGTGTTTCGATACCTAAAACTACGATAGGTAATACTTTTAACAAGAAAGGAAACGTCAGTTTGGCTTCAAGTGGAAAAATTGTTCCAAATATATATTCAAGGAAAAACGGAAAGTTTCAAATGTTGCAAAGGTAAAATCTTTAATGTTAAAAAAATCCTCAAAGAACAGTTGCAATATCATTAAAATGTTCCGTGACAGCTGTAGATAAAGTTATTAATGCTGCTTTGAATCTTGAAAAGGTGAAAAAACATAATGTGCATGTTTTTCTCCACGATATATTGCTAAACTCAGAACGCACTGCGAAATTCTTTATGAGAAATAGTTATCTGGACAAAAATGGAAAAATGTTGTCACAATAGATTCTGTGTGTATTTTTTGGGTGTCTTGAAATGATTGCAATAGAAAGATCCATTTATTATCATCAAAGATGAGAAAATAATCTTAAAACCTGTTTCAAAGAATCTAAAAAAAGTTTATCGAAGAGATTTATGATTATTGCTATTTTTCCTATAACTGAAAATTAATAATAAAGAGAGAGGAGAAAATTGTTAAGATTAACTCCGCATATTATCAGGAACATATTTTGTACCCATTTTTTATATATGAAATACCTTCTCTGTACCCACAGTGCCATCAATCAGTACAGTTCCATCAAGAAAAAGCAAGCAACCACACACTCAAAACCACTGTTAATTCCCTGGAAAAAATGGAGTAAGAAACGGATATCAAGTCCATACCCTTCGCTCATATCCTTACTAAGTCTCCTGATTTACCACCTATGGATTTTTGCGCGTTTGGACTTTTAAAAAGAGGATTTTCCAAACGTTGATTTCCTAGGACTTTGGAAAGCTGTTCAAGAGGAATATTACAGAATACTTCTTCGATATTGCAAAAAGCTTTATTATTTTGAAAACTACAGTCTAGAAAGATAGTAAAGAATTAGGGTTATGAACAGGACTTTTAAAACATAAAAAATTTAGGTAAAATACTTCTGTAAATACAACAAAATTCGTCTAAAAATACGCGAACAGCGTCTGTAGACAATTTTCCGGCGTTTTGATTTCTTAGTAGTTTTTGCTCATTTGGTGAAGAAGGAGGAGCTTACAAACCTATTCTTCAAAATTTGCAATATAATAGCTAAAGCAGATTTTTTTTAATTACTGTTGCGACGGACTTTTCTTTATCCCTTCCTGGTTCTATTAGCATTCTATTCTCTCTTATTAATAGCCTACTGTAAAAGACCTAACGTAACCAAGTACATAATTCATTAGTGCTGCATTTTCAAAAACTGCATCAGTGAAAGTATTGCGCTTGTTTCTGCAGTTTTCTTGTTTATTCGTAATTTCAATCATATTTGTGAACGTTTTCTAAATCATATATCACACAGAGATATCCGACAAAGTTTTTGAAAGCTTCGGATAACCATCTGTATAACCATTGTTAAAAATGCAATCTAACTCTTTGCGACTCGACAAAAACTTCAGTGTTGTTATACAGAAGAAGGAAATTTCATTCCACAATTTGGTATTCCTACTAATCGGAAAATTTTTCTAGCATACTTAGTGCTGTGATTGATTGCACAAAATCACGGAAATATCTTAAACATTACTTAACTGTTATGCGATTTCGAATGTCCAATGAAAGCAAATCCTAGCGTATCTACAGCTATTCCGAGAATGAATTCAGTTTGAAAAACATTCCAGTTTTAAAATCTATGCTTCAATGCATATTTCTCTCTTGAACGTAAAATGGCATGAATCTCATAACCATCCAAATGTTTTTAAAAAGTATATTTTGCTTTTCAATGATTATCTTTGTTACAGAGATTAGAAACGCACTGTTATAATTTAAAAGATAATGAATTACACAGTGGGTTAAATTATCATTTTATGTTGCAGCGGTGAATGAATCGAAGTGAACGCAATGGCATCCAAAAGAATTTTTTCAGATATCGAAAGTAGTAGAAACTTATTTTGTGATCTGTAAGAAGTGCATCTACAGTCCCATCCGAAAAATTACATACGCAGGGTTAATTCCAATCGTCATCTGTGGTAAAATAAGTATACGCAGCACAGCATTTACTATAGTTCTGATTTAATTTATTTTTTAGAATGAATTGCTGTATATCGCTGCCGCGAAATTAGGTTAACGTGCATCCACTGATGATATCGGTTATGCAACTATATAGATAGCACCGTTATAATTCTACTCTCACTATAATCTTGATAAGGCACATTATCAGTGCTGTTATGGCACTGATTTCGAGCTCCTTATTCTAATTTCGACCTAGAATGTTTAAGTTGATACTTGTTTTAATCTTTTCGCTGCACATTAGTATATTTTTGCAAGTTTTTGCACACATGCGATTAGCAGACAGAACAATAACAATTCCATTGACATAATGGTTAGCTGTTTTGTTTTTACGTCTATAAAATTCAACGCTCGTAAATAAGAGTTCACAATAAATGCTTTTAAAAAAATTTTGATTTATGAAAAGTTTAATTTTCAAGCCTTACGCTTTTTCGAGAGACGAAGAGTAGTAATTTCGCTCAGAGGAGCGCATAATTGATTCAAGAAGTGTCAAAAATGGAACTGTCATGCGACAGAAGTAAAGATAACGAAAGGAAAAAATAAATAAATAGCTGTAAACACGATAAAGAAAGTTCTGAATTAATAAAGTAGAAAAGTTAAATACAGTTGCTAAAAATATACAGTATATTAACTTTCTAATGGATTTAGAATTGACTTTACAGTAAGTCTTTAAGTATGAATGCGTTACGTGAGAAGTGACTTCAAATAAGAATGCTCTAAAATACCTGGTTCAAATAGAACGCTCCGATGTATGAGCACTTCCCTCGTCTTTCTTGATCAGATACAGTAGAAACCATTCTGTATAAAACTGAAAAACTACTGTTAGAAAGAACGGGAAACTAAATCGTTCGAGTTTTACAAATTACTCGTAGAGGGTATTTGTATACCGCGTAACTTTAGTTAACGGATAGAAATTTTGTATCGAGTGACGTCAGTGGATGCTGGCCGGCCAACCATCCGTCTTTAACCAGGTTGTTGTGTCTCCCCTCGTCGTTCTCCCGCCCCGCTTCAGAGAGACCCAGGAGCGAGAGAAGGGTGCAAAAATCGCGAGACAGAATTCGGTAACCGCTCTCTCAGTTGTACCTTGCTCCGACCTAGTGGCAGGACGTGCGACGTGCATAGGGTTCCTCTGCCGTCCTGAGCATTGGAGTTTTTTACTAGTAACCTTGCGCTGTTGTGTCCAGTCATGAGCTTGTTGATTAGCTCTGGATTCGCGCATAAATTTGATTCGCAGCACATCACATGTTGGGTGAAAGGTAAGCGATGTAAAGTTATTAAATATTCAAATTATCGTTATTTTTCTTTATAAACATTTCGTAGCCTGTAAAACTTTTATAAAAATATATGATTTGATTCCAGACAGAGAAATTTATTTTTAAGTAAAAACATTTCATAACCAATAGAAATTTTTAAAATACAAATGACAAGGAGTTTGCATTTTTGATAAAAATATTTCATTGTATATAAAAATTTTATAAAAGACCGAATTTGATTCCAGACAAGAAAAATTATTTTTTGCATTAATAATTCTCGCTTATAAAATTTTGTGATTTGATTCTGAATAAGAAAATAGGAGGAATTTGTTTCTTATAGTTGTATTTAAAGATTTATTCACATATTACCTTCCGTCTTTTTTTCATCCCTTCTCTTCACCACATGAAGTAAAATTATTTAATTCTGATTTAAAATTGTTAATTTTTAATTTCTTAATGTGCAGTGCAGTTAGCCATCAATGTATGGTCAAGCATGTCATTCTGAGTTTATTTTTATGCATTTAGTTGATAGTAAAAAAAAACTGAATCATAAAATGGTATAATACTACAATTGAATTAATTCACTTATTATGCTGAACTAGATATGATCTAGTTACAGAAAATTAAAATAATTTATAATATGATGAGTTATACCCTTTTATTCTGTATGTTAAGCGAAATTAATTTTCAAAGTGAAACTTAATTCTTCTTATTGACTTATTTACTTCTGAAAGAGGAAAAATTATTTTATTATTTCTACTTTTTTACTTTATTTTTACTTAGTTTTAACTGTAACTCATCAGTTAAAATTATTAACATGTTCTTAGTTAAATGTTCAGGTATGTTACATTTATTTCTGTGTCTCTACATATGTGTACGTGAGCTGATTAAAATCTAGATACTTGTTTAAAACACGCAGAAAATACTAGCAAAGGAATTTGAATTATAATATTTGTTTTTTATATCCCTTTCTTCAACTGGAATATTTTATTGAATTATTTAATACATTTATATGGATTACTTTTATTGTAGGCAATTTAATTCAAGCAAAATACTCATGAATCTCCTTAATTACACACACACACACACGGATATGCATATGTATATTTATTTTACGTGCATACCAAGTATCCCAATGGCAAAGTTTCCTAAAGTAAGATAGAAAATTTTATGAAAACGAATTTGGCACACTTTTTTCAGATCAGACTGCGTTATATCAGGGTATTCTGTAAGGTTTCTATTGATCAAAGAAGTTAATTAGTAGAATGTTACGTATGTTTAAAAGTTAATGCAAAATATTATATTAAAGAAGGGAAGAATCCTAAATTACCTTCAATCCGTATATAAAAGTTTCTTAGTTCTCAAATCCTTCACACAAGAATAAGAATAATAATAAGAAAAAGCTTTGATTTAATATTAAAGCAAAATTTGAAATCTGTGTTTAATGGAAAACAAATCGTATTTTGTGTGTTTGATGGAAAACAAATGTATTTATAAGACAATTTAAAAGAAAATTAGCAAATAAAGTACCTAATTAAAACTCTCTGATCTTGAGGTTCATGTTTCGATACATTTTTATGAAAGGTATTTGAAAAAATATTTATAAAATTACTTTTACAAAAAACATTCAAATTTTTTACATTTTCCAAAATAATTTTGAATCAAAGACAAGATGATCAGTTCTAGAGTTAAAGTGATAAGCGATAAACATACAATTTTATCTTCTGTCCTGAAAATAAAGAATATGAGACTCGCAATCGCCTGAAAGTGATACTGGTGATCCATATCCACTAAAACTACAAATCTCTGTTCTCTCTCTCTCTCTCTTTTTTTTTTTTTTTTTTGGTGTGTGTGTGTGTGTGTGTGTGTGTGTGCGTGTGTAAAGAATGTTTTTTATATTATCGGTTGTTAAAACTAATCTTTCAGCAATTTTAGATCTTTTCTCAAATTTTGTGAGATAACGGATTCGTATACCCTGTTCCCATTACCGCTTTTTATACCTATATGCGCAAAATTCACGGAGTTCTGGAACTCATTTACTGTCTCATATCACATTTTAACCCTTATTATTGAGTAACTGTGATCAAATTCTGACCAAATTTAAGAAGAAAGAGTAAAATTGAAGATTTTAGGTTTGGTGACTAATGATTCTGCGTAGGTAAAAGAGCAATTGCAGCTAGTCTTCTGAAACTCTTAATTACTAATATGTTTCATATATGCAATTAGTCCACGTTCCATATTGAATTCCTCTTCCTATTTTGAGTATTTTTATATTATTTTAGGAAATTCTTCTCGTTTAAAATAGTTGACGTTTTTTATTGGGAAAATTTGGGATTTTACTAGTTTTGATTTTATTTTTCCTGTCTTTGTCTTTGTCTGACTTACTTTTCGTCTGTAATTGATTAATTTTTCAGCAGCCCAATGCACGGAAATAATATTGGGATATTTTTTTTTTAATTTTGCGATATCGTAATATACGTATATATATATAAATATAAATATAAATATATGCAGAGTAGAGCTTCGATTATTCGAAATTTGATAAGCCAGAACTTTTAATAAAGTGTCGAAATTTAGAATTCAGAACTGATGTTAAGAAATTGAAAATTTGTTCATATGATTTGAATATGGTTTGTTCTTGAATATGACTTGTTCATATGATACGATGAGTGATTAGATCACCATTATGAGAGCTAAGAATAAGTGCACAAGGAAATTACAGGTAAAGCGCCAACTGGAAGACTTTTTTTTCAGGGGGGGAGAGCAGTAGATGCGAAATTCATTATTATAAACTAAAGTAGGTGCTTTTGCTTACGCTACTGCTGTGAGCATTTTTTCTTCCTTTTTGACATTTTTTACTAATTGAAAATCAAGGTGTTAAAAAGTGCTGATTTGTTTCCGAATGCAGAAAAATGACAATAATAATTCTGGCAGGAGTGCTCAATTTTCAAAAGAAAACATAATTTTATAAGACCGATTTAATATTTTTAAATTTTAAACACACTCTCCGAATAATTTAAAAATGTTTTCAGAATAACCACGTGAAGAAAATTTTCTCAGGGTAAAACATGTATGCACACAAATCGTGTAATTTGACTTGGTGTAAATATTCTAAGAAAAAAAATGAAATTGAATATTTATTACTAGTGCTTTCAAGAATCTAACAGAAACCATTAATTGGAGTAATTAATTCTAATTTGGGTTTCTAATATTAAATCAAAGAACTAATGAATTCTTAATTTCCTTGGTCTGATGCTTCGCCTTCGTTTCTTGACTCTGCGAATCTGTAGAAATCCTGAAAATACAACATTTTCCCAATTTTATTAATAGTCAGAGCCATCACAAGGTAGAATATCCCTATTTTCTCAACTGTTATCGATAAAATTAATTTCGATATCTCTAGGGCTCAGTCTGAAGTTTCCTAACTCAGTTCTTGTGTTCTACCACTGAACACCAAACTATGATTACCTTTAGCCATCCGCTGCGTAAAACCATTGAATCAATGTTTTTGAAAGATTTATTCTAAGATATTACGGTATTATAAGATTGAAATTAAGCCTCCAATTATGACAGCTGTATTCATTCATTCTCACACGAAATCTTTAAATTCTTCTTTTATATTTAACCGTCTATAATCTATTGCTTTAAAATAGGCACTTTAGTGGTATTGCCAAAACCCCTTCCCTCCGTTTGCGGATGTAACTCGTATCGTCATCACCACATAACATTTATTTTCTCCACCTCATTTATGACTGCACTTCAAGTAAGCTTCCATTCGCGTGCTTTTCATGAAGCGAAAGACGCTAAACGGAAATAAAGTGTGGGGGAGAATTAAGCGAATCGTTTTATCCCTACCTGTTGTTCCCATGGTTACAAGTCAAATCGAGAAGCGCAAAATAACCGTTGAAGTTCTTATTTTGAAATAACAGATTACAGTGTGTTGATCTTAAATTTTCCTTTTTTCCTAAATATTTTTCATAGAGGTAAATTATGATGAAATCATTTTTCCATCATATGCGTAATTTTATGAGAAATCTGTAAGAAGCATTAACCTAAATGCCTTTCTTTAATTTTAAATGCAGAACACATTTTTAAGAGTAAAGGTCACTATTATAAAATCTGCAATACGGAATAAAATAATTTAGAGCATTGCTTACAAAAATCTTTCATAAAGATAAATAAGTGATGATGAAATCGTTTTTACATCATTTGTGTAGTTTTATAAGAAACCTATACGGAACTTTAACTTAAAAGGTTTTCTTTAATTTGCAGAAAAAGATTTTTAAGAGTAAAATTCATTATTATAAAATCTGCGACACGGAATAATATAATTTAGAGGAACTGCCTAAATTTAATTTATTTTTTACTGATCATCTGGGCATCATTAAATAACTTAGCTGTGCTAGTAATGTGCTTAATATAAGAAAAATGGAATCTTAAATAATAAAAAAAAAACTTATACTTTGTAAACTAGAAACTTTTGAAGGAAATCTTGAAATTAGAGAAAAAATATAACCGTTGATATTACGGAAGAAAATAACGGTGGAGTAGATTATAAATATTTTAGTGAAAATAATCTGTGTTGGTGCCGAAAGACGGTGAGAGTTTGGAGACGCCAGTAGAGAAATTAGGAACGGCAGAAACTGCAATGGGTAAAAAGCCTGGCACTGCAAATATTTTATCATACCTTGCCGCCCCGATGCGTTTAGTAGTTAGCGCTGTTGGTTGCCCTATAGTTGGGCACTGACAAATATCGGAGAAAGCTTGGGTGTTTGTAAATATATAGTGCCTTTGCGCGATGGTGGTACTTGAAATACGCAGCGAGCCGAAAGTTGTGTGGCTTGGTGGTAGAGGAAGAGAGAGCAGAAATCGTAGGATTTGTTCCCCGGAGGAGTTTTCTTGAAAACTGAGACGCTACTGGCCAAAGTCATACTGTCACCTATATGGTGCCCAAAGCTAGTGAAGACGACAGTAGAAATTCCGAGCGCCTCACCACGACAAAA